TCTAACATACTATCCCTGTGCAACTCACAGACTTCTAGTAATTAGTAAGTTGTTAAAAAAAAGAAGAAGAAATTAATTTTCTTCTCTGTTCAAAAAGGTCCAGAATTACCAACAGAGCTGTAATGGATAATTACAGTATGTTCAGCATTTAAACTACTTAAAAGACTAAAATATTAAATAAAAACATGCACCGCTTCCAGCATCTAATTTGCATTATTTTTATTTGTCACTGCATTCACACACTGTACAAAATCAGTGTTTTAACAGCTGATGAAGACCATTATATGTGCTGAATGCACAGGTGATTATCTCCTGACCCCTCTGTAGTGGTGCTCCTGTTCGCCTGCCCCGGTTTAAGCGGCTCCTCACGGCCAGCTTGTGCTTCTTGAGGGCGGCCCTGTGGCTCTGGAGCTGCTTCTGTTTCTTGTTTAACCGGATGATGTCATCTGTGAAGGGGAACGACAAACGCAGCAGTCAGAATTCAACTGACGGACGCAAAGCAAAGGGGGAGCAAACCCACCATTAAATACCCTTAATTTCAGAAGAATCTCTGGTCTCTGCAAACATTTGGGTGTATAGTGTAGCTTAAGACACAAACCCAGCAGTACAAGTCTGTAGACACCAGTGTTTCTTCGGAAATGAAGGGTATTAATAGTGAGTTTGTCCCCCTTTGCTCCAGTAACAGCATCTACTCTTCTAGGAAGGCCTTATATTAGATGCTGGAACATTGCTGTGAGGAGGATTTGATTGCATTCATCCACAAGAGCATGAAGGAGGTCAGGTACCGATGTTGGATGATCAGTCAACCCTACATCCTCCAATAAAACAAAGCTGATGGGCCCATAGCTAAGTGGACATGGGCTCCATCATACCCTCTTAAAAAAGACCCTTCTTCAAAAGGTTCTTTGGTAAAGGGAATGGTTCTATTTAGAGCCATGAATTCTATATAGAACCATTTTATGCTTTAATGGTCCTTCAGAGTGATGGAGAATGTGTTGTAAAAATGGTTCTATACAGCACCAAAACAGGTTCTCCTATTGCTTTAATGTCAAGCTTGTAACCCTTTTTGGTGCTGCATAGAACTATTTTCAAAAAGGTTCTGAACAGAACCACATACAGCACATTCTCGATCAGTCTGAAGAACCATTTCACCATGCAGAAAACGTTTAGGCATAAAATGGTTCTATATGGAGCTCATGGTTCTAAATAGAAACATTTCATGCTTAAATGGTTCTTCAGATTGATGGAGAATGTGTTGTATATGGTTCTACGTGGAACTAGAAAAAGAGTTCTACATAGTACCAAAAAGGGTTCTTCTATTGCTTCAGTGTCAACTCAGCTTGTAACCATTTTTGGTGCTGCATAGAACTACTTTCAAAAAGGTTCTGTAGAGAACCACATAGAGCACATTCTCCATCAGTCTGAAGAACCATTTCACCATGCAAAAAAACATTTCGGCATGGAATGGTTCCCTCTGCAGCTCATGGTTCTATATAGAAACATTTCATGCTTAAATGGTCCCTCAGGTTGATGGAGAATGTGTTGCATATGGTTCTACGTGGAACTTTTCTTAAAAACAGTTCTACATAGCACCAAAAAGCGTTCTTCTATTGCTTCAGTGTGAAGCTTGTAACCCTTTTTGGTGCTACATAGAACTACTTTCAAAAAGGTTCTGTACAGAACGACATACAGCGCATTCTCCATCAGTCTGAAGAACCATTTCACCATGGAACAGTTCCCTCTCGAGCTCATGGTTCTACATAGAAACACTTCATGCTTAAATGGTCCTTTGGATTGATGGAGAATTTGTATAAGGTTCTATGTGGAACATTTTGAAAATGGTTCTATACAGCACCACAAAGGGTCATCGAAGCATCGGTGCTACACAGAACTGTTTTCAAAAAGGTTCGGTACAGAACCACATACAGCACATTCTCCATCAGTCTGAAGGGCCATTTCACCATTCAAAGAACTACTTAGGCACGAAATGGTTCTATATGGAGCTTGTGGTTCTAAATAGTACTAAAGAACCGTTTTTATGGAGTGATAACTCAATTATAGCTTTATTAAAGAAAACTACGAACACTTTTACAAGTCTGCTATTCAGTAGCAGCAGTGTTAATGTTTAGGTTCATGTGCTGAATTCTAACACCGTTAAACTGAAGCTTCTGAATAAAAGCCTTTATAACATAAATCACATCTATAACTTACAGTTATATGACAATTTGCATACACTGAACGTTGCTAACGTTAGCTGCTTAGCTTCTGCGAGGCTAAACCCAGCTTCTTATTCTTATTCGCCAGCTTTTTTGTTCGAATTTCCCCGTTCCACCTTAAATGATGCAGCGGCTGTATTCTGACTCGGGCGCCAGAGAGGAGCTGCTGCCCTATTTAAGGTGGAACGCGAAAATTAGAATAGAAAGCCAACTTCAGCCTCCAGCCTCTCCGATAGCTCTATGGTCGTTTTAACGTCCACTCACCGAGAGACATGTCCACTTTGTCAGGCCCCTCCGCGTTACCGCTCGAAATAAAGCCGGATTTATTCATGATTTAAGCGGAATATGTTAAATTTACGGAAATAAAAAAATGAAATGATCAAATTTAAACCCAAACCAAACGGCTAACGGCTAAATCTACGCTGCACCACTGCTACGCATGCGCCACTTAGGTTTATGTGCGTCACTCAGGGGGGCGGGGTTACGGCGTGACGCGGTACGCTGGCCTTTGTTTTGTCTTGTTTTGTTTTGCCTCGCTGCCGTACAACGAGATAATAATGGATGCACATTTCTGCCAAATGAAATAAACAAAAATCTAAAAAAATATCCAGCACTTAATTATTATTTTAATTTTTAAGTGAATTTCTATTTCTTGTTTTGCGATTCTAAGTAATTATTTTGGAATACTGTCTCATTAGTTTGAGACACCAAGTCATTGTTTTGAGATACTATCTTATTATTGGAAGATATTATCTCATTAATTTGATGCGCTAAGTAATTATTTTTGGAATACTATCTCATTAGTTTGAGATACCAAGTCATTGTTTTGAGATACTATCTCATTATTTTGAGATACCAAGTCATTGTTTTGAGATACCAAGTCATTGTTGGAATATATTATCTCATTAATTTGAGGTGCCATGTGATTATTTTGGAATACTATCTCATTATTTTGAGATACCAAGTCATTGTTTTGAGATACTATCTCATTATTTGAATTTTCATCTCAAAATAATGAGAAAGTATCTCAAAATAGCAAGAAATCTCAAAAGTATGAAAATGTTTGTCAAAATAATGAGATAGTATCTCAAAATAATGACTCAGCATTTCAAAATAATAAGACAGTATCCAATAATAAGAGTAAATTCTATTTACACATGTGCACATTTCTCAAAACAATACCCAGGTTTGATCTATTCTTAATGGACTTTGCTGCACTATTAGAGGCTTTTAGATAGATGGTAAATTAAACTACTAGAATTTAAGATGATGTAATGAAGAAACAAGACTTTTTTTCTTCTTTTTTTTCCTTTTGTGTTTCTCTTTGCTCTGTAAATACAATATCATAGTAACGTCAAAATTACATAGAATGTTTTCCTGTCATCCATAGTTTATCTGTGTCATTTACATTATTTTAATAACTGCATCCTCGCAATTTTGTTTCTTGTAAGAATAAAAATGAAACAATTCATCATTATTTTTATTGCATTCACACTGCTACTATCAACCGCACCTGGAGTAAAAGATCAAATTGGTGTAAATGATGTTTTACTCTATTTTGCTTATAATCTGAATCAGAATGTGTTTTTTGATAATTATCCTAAATATTATGATTTATTTTAATTCTATACATAATTGTAAATGGTCTAATAAAAAAATTACAAATTTGCCACTTCAAACTTTATTTAATAAAAAATTAAAAAGCAGTTGAAACATAGGCAAGCACATAAAGTGCACCCCCAAAAGGTTTGTTGTTTTCTTTTTTTATACATTTGTTTTATATATCTTTGTGTATGTACATGTGTTCAATGCATGCTGATGCGTATACTATGTATGTATGACATATGCTAACAAGTATGATTGCTATAGTCAGAAGTTCAACAAAAGGATATTTTCTGATATTCATTTTTACCACTAGAGGCAGCAGTGAGGTAAAAACTGTTCAGTAGAAAAACCTACACAGTGAAATGAAGTCATTCACAAAATTAGCATAACTTTAACAAAAAAAGACTCAATAATTTCAGGAAAACAGCAGATTTATAAAATTGGGGGATATACATAACGGCACTCTTAAAAAGAAGGTTCTCCAAGGTTCTTTGGTAAAGACAGCGGTTTTATTTAGAACCAAGAGTTCTACATAGAACCATTTGCATGCTCAAATGGCTCCTGGTATAGTGAAATGGTTCTTCAGTTTGATGGAGAATGTGTTGCACATGGTTCTATATAGAACCTTTTTTAAAATGGTTCTAGATAGCACCAAAAGGGTTCTGCTATTGTGACAATGCCAAGCTTGTAACAACAGAAGAACCTTATTTGGTGCTACACCGAACCGTATGCAACACATTCTTAACCAGTCTGAAGAACCAGTCCAGCATGCACATGGTTCTTACGGTTCCAAACAGAACCCTAAAGAACACTTAAAAAACCTTAAGAATAGAACCATCTAGAACACATTCTCCATCGATGTGAAGAACCATTTCACCATGCAAAGAGCTATTTAATCATGCAAAGGGTTCTTTGAGTGTTCATGGTTCTATTTAGAACCACTTTCTTTACTAAAGAACCGTCTTTTTTCGAAGATGGTCAGATATAGTTCATATTATACTATCATAATAATATAATTTATAATAACTTATGATAAAAGATGAACTTAGAAAGAAATGTAGCCGTTAAAGTTACAAAACACGTTACAAAAGCCTTAGAAAATGAACTGTTACGTATCTCCTGCAGGCCCCGCCCCGCTGGCCGGCGCCGGCCAATCAGAGTCTCTGTTTCGTGGTTACAAAACAGAAGGCGCGCACGTGAGTGGTGCCCGTAGAGCGTGCTCTTTTCATGCTTTGCACGCAGCGCCGCGCGTCTGCAGGCCGGAGAGCTGTGAATCTGATCGCCTCAGCCGCTTTACTCTCGAGTTTAGAGCTCCGAGCGGCGCTTCTGACCTTCTTACCCCGCCGGGCAGCGAGCATGTATGCGAGGAGAGCCGAGCTGAAGCGGAAGGCGGAGGCGCTCAGCAGCGCTGTGGAGGGAAAGAAGCAGAAGGCTGAGGAGAAGAGTGGAGGAGAGAGGGGAGAGAGGGGAGGGAGGCAGGCCGGCTGGCTGCAGCTGGAAGTGGACGAGCTGCGCGCTCGAAACACCGGCTGCAAATTCAACGCCAAGCGCGTGCGTTTCCTCTCCGAGAACCAGAAGGTTCCTCAGGGCTGCGGGGGGGTTCTGTACTGGATGGCGAGGGACCAGAGGGTCCAGGGTGAGTACATACACAGAGACCACTGGAGCCTCTTCAGCCACTTAACTGGTTCAGCGGTGCTGGAGGAACCTGTGCAGTTGCAAATGCAATGCTTAAAGGAGAACTCCACCGGTTTTTCAGAATTTCTGTATAATTCAGTGTGTGAGATGTAAACAGAGTGGTTTGGTGTGAAATGGTTCAGGTTTCTTTACAGTGGTGGTGATAGGAACTAGGGGTCGCCATGACTACAACACAAATATAGACAACATGAATGGATTAAAAATAAATGGAGTAAAATACATTCTGAGCCAAAACTATCACATAACTACTGTAAACAGTGTCTCAGACATCAGGCAGTGAATTCATAACCATTTCATGTAGTAACTTTCTGTGAGGGAGCTTTTAGAGGGGGACGTCTGGTTCCTATCACCACCACTGTAAACAACTCTGTAAGTTTGTCTAGAACAGAGCATTTCACACCAAACAGTTCATTATATAGAACTTTTGAAAATCGCTGGGGTTTCCCTTGTTCTGTAATATAAACCCTGCTGAAAAAACTATAGAACCTAAAGCACTGCAGTAACACTGATGTGGTGGTGGTGTGTTAGTGTGTGTTGTGCTGGTCTGAGTGGATCAGACACAGCAGTGCTGCTGGAGTCTTTAAACACCTCAGTGTCACTGCTGGACTGAGAATAGTCCACCAACAAAAAACATCCAGCCAGCAGCGTCCTGTGGGCAGCGTCCTCTGACCACTGATGAAGGACTAGAGGATGATCAACACAAACTGTGCAGCAGCAGATGAGCTATCGTCTCTGACTTTACATCTACAAGGTGGACCAACAAGGTAGAAGTGTCTAATAGAGTGGACAGTGAGTGGACAGTGTTTAAAAACTCCAACAGCACTGCTGTGTCTGATCCATTTGTACCAGCACAACACACACTAACACACCACGTCAGTGTTACTGCAGTGCTGAGAATGATCCACCACCCAAACAGTACCTGCTCTGTGAGGGTCCATGGGGGTCCTGACCACTGAAGAACAGGGTAACAAAGCATGAAGAAACAGATGGACTACAGTCTGTAACTGTAGAACTACTAAGTGCTCCTATATGGTCAGTGGAGCTGATAAAATGGACAGAGTGTAGAAACAAGGAGGTGGTTTTAGTGTTATGGCTGATCTCACTGGCCACTTTATTAGGTTTACCTGTGGATTCTCTCTCTCTCTCTCAGATAACTGGGCAGTGGTCTATGCGCAGCAGCTGGCTCTAGCGGAGAAGTTGCCCCTCCACATCTGCTTCTGTCTGGTGCCGCGGTATCTGGACGCGGCCTACCGCCAGTACGCCTTCATGATCAGAGGACTGCAAAAGGTGGCCAAGGTGAAGAGCTTTCAGGACCAGTCAGACGTTGAATAGAGTGTCTCTGTGATTCGGGTTGTTTTCAGTGTGAAAACACTGTTTTGAATGGTTCGGACTTTCAGACCAATTACAGGATAACAATTATAATACAGTTCTTATCACAGAAGCAAATCTGACCTTAATTTAGGAATCGTATCTTACAACATCTTATCTTCAGTTAAGACTCTTAACTCATCATCAAAGTCGACAATCATCTGTCATGCTACCCGTTACTTAGCAACCCACCATACACGCACAGCTGAAACGTAAACATGTCATCAAAATAACATTAGCTACTGTTACTGATTCAAGGTCAATCAAAATTAAAGCACTACAAACTTGAAGTTGTGAATACTGTGAGAGCGTCCCCTGCTGTTTATCAGTGTCGCCGCTCCCCAGTTTCAGTCTCCATTTCCCAAACGCTTTAGCCGAGCGCGCTAACGTTACTCCTCCTAATAAACAGACACACGTTCAGCTCCGTCTCCTCATTATTCACCACCATCACTGTAATATTTCATCATCAACATTAACACACGAAGGTGATCAGAGGGGCGGTGGAGATCGAGTCTGCAGCGTCTGAGATCTTTAAAACGCAGAGTTAGAAAAGAAAATCATCTCACAGTGAAAGCAGCGTTTTACAGTAGAGATAAATGGAGCTCATTATGCTGGTAGTGAACTATGCTGCTGACTCAGCTGCCTAAAAACCATAGAAACGGACCTTAAACAGAAGTGAGGACCCTGTTGGGGTTCATCCTAAAGTTAGGACAGGATTTAGGAGGTTTAGTCTAGTTAGGATGTTTGCTAATGCCTTAGCTATAAAAGTAAAAAGAGCTCTTGTGTCAGGATTGGTATCGGCAGTTGTGTATCGGAATCAGAATGGATCAGCCCATCACTAAAACTAAGCGGATCAAATGTACACAGTGTAACAAAAACATGATCTTTGGTCTGGACTTTCAGGCGTGAAACGCCATGAATTTTACTGAAGATTTGAGCAGGAGGTGTTGAAACTTTGACGGCTGTACGTGAAAACTGTCCTGAATTGTTGTCCTTCCCACAGGAATGTAAGAGTCTTGACATTCAGTTCCACCTCCTGCGTGGTGAGCCTGAGCTGACGCTGCCCTGCTTTGTGAAGAGCTGGAACTTCGGTGCCGTGGTGACGGACTTTAACCCCCTCAGACTGCCCCTGCAGTGGACTGAGAAAGTCAAAAAAGAGCTGCCAGCTGACGTCCCCTTCATGCAGGTGGGCTACGATACCACACTGTGAGAGAATGTCTCTCTCTCTCTCTCTCACTCACTGAGAATACCACAGTACACAATAAAATGATAACAGTTTCACTCTTGGCTCAAATGTAGTCGATCAGCTGAGACTGTAATTTTGGCTAATCACATTTAGCCGAACACATCCACTGTATTTCCACATCGGCATTTAACGAAGTGCATCTTCTCTGCTGATGTTAAGGTTGATGCCCATAATGTGGTGCCGTGTTGGGAGGCGTCTCCTAAGCTGGAGTACGGAGCCAGGACCATCAGAGGGAAAATCACCAAACTCCTCCCAGAGTTCCTCACTGAGTTTCCACCTGTGGACGTGCATCCACACCCTTCCACGAAAACGGCAAAGGTAGGACTGGAAGCTCCCCAGAAAGAACAGTTTAAAGCGTTAGTTTAACAAAAACTCATGTATATACATAAACACTTTCCATCCTTTCCCCAAAAGTAGTCAATAAGCTGGGACATGTTTGGTGTCTAAGCTTTGCTTCTTTATGTTTGCACTGGAGCTAAGAGGCTAGCAGGTAACAGAATCCTATACTGGGGGGAGGCCGTGCCCACCCAGTTAGACTACTAGACCTCAGAGTTGGGCAAAATAAGTAGTGTTGCCTGAATACTGAACGGGGTATGTGTTCAAATATGTATTCAGTGACATCACCATGGATTCAGTAGCATTGGCCTAGCAACATCTTAGGCTACGTTCACACAGCAGGTAAAAGTGGCCCGAATCTGATTTTCTCACGAAATCAGCTTTTTTTGTTTGACTGTTCAGATTATCTTTTAAATGCGACATCAGTCTGAACAGATCAGCTCCTAAACTGACCCACATGCACAAAAGATCAGAGCGTCACGCTGCTTCACGGCTCATCCAGAGGTAAACAATCACGACTATGAATGAACGCCAGTCGCTCCCGGAGGATCAGCTTCATCTTCACCAGCATCACAGGAGCCATCATGAAGCTTCACTGACTGACAGCTGGGCTCATCACCGAGAATGAGTTTGAGCCGTAAAAAGGGCGCGGTCACTTCTTTGGTTCGCGTCCTCGGATTCTTTTAACTCTGCTTTCAGACTTTTAACTGTTCTTTGATGCTGCAGCCTCGTTCTCCTGCGGCCACGTTCGGACATTTCTTTAGAAATCTCTTCGAAAACAGAGTTTGGATGAGTCGCTTCTAATTTTTGTACAGAAACATCAGCCCAGATGTTTATTAGGTCTCTAAATTATGAAGAATGTCGAGTTGTACTGACGTAAAAACTGCATGAATTCCGATCTGGCTGTTCAGACTGAGTTGTATTGCTGCAGATCAGATACGGATCAGATTTCAGTACCACACATGTAAGTGTCTCAAATCAGAACTGAAAATGTCTGATTCAGTGTGTTTTTCTGTTCACACTGACACACAGACACACATCTGTGTCACATATGAAGAAAAAGATTTGGGCCACTTTTACCTGTTGTGTAAACGTAGCCTTAGCAACCACCTGGGATTTTAAACCAATGTCTTTGTCAAGCCAAATTTAAAGCTTGTTGAGCAGCTTTTCCCATCTAGTTCAGGATACATTGACAAAACTCAAAAATGTCAGCTGGTGCACTTCATTCACACTGTCCCTCATTTTTTATTGCTCTCATTTTAACCTCCCAGTCTGAACTGCTGTCTGTCTCATGAACTCAAAAGTGGGATTTTATGTAACATTTTGGTGTAAAAAGTGGCACACAGCTAAGAGGTTAACCCAGAGGTCGGCAACATGCGGCTCTTCTACTGTCCTGTTGTGGCTCCACAGCAGAATCAGATTAGTAGGTAAAAATAAAATAATCCTCCTTTACAGTAAAATAAAGCTCTGCTGATCTTTCAACACAGTTTAACAATAAATGGTCTTAAACTCTGGAGTTAATGTAGAACTGCTAATTCACCCTTTAACCCTGAAGATCAGCGCAGACTGCTGGTCACCATAGCAACACAGACAACAATCTCGCCTAGCTAGTAGCTAACGAAACAACAAAGAGAGGGATTTAAGACGAACGTCGATCATTTGGAGACAAATGGACTTATTAGTGTTTATAATCACCTGATACGTCCTGATACGTTTGATCTGCAGTGAGAAACTCACAAACACTAAAAAGTTGCGAGGCTGAAGTCGGCGTCTCATTTGAATTGTCCTGTTCCACCTTAAATGGTGCAGCAGTTACATTCTGGCACCTCAGGCACCATTTAAGGTGGAACCGGAAAATCTGAACAAGAAGCTGGCGAATGAGAAGCGACTTCAGCCTCGTAAAAATCACACGTTGAGAGACGTTTTACAAGAAACTTTTCTACTTTAGCTGAAAGGAGATGCGAGAAAAGCGTCTATAGCTGAGTTAAAGCTTAAAGCAGAGCAAAGTAAGTCTGTGTTTTCATTTAGTATGTTTGCACATACTGAAGCACAAATATACAGCCAAGATAGTAAAATGGACATAAAACGTTGTGGCTCTCAGGGTGATTTGATGTTTGTTGCAAGAACAAAATGCCTCTTCATAAGATTTGGGTTGCGACCCCTGGGTTAGGCTCAAAACCATAAAAGTTCTGAATAACTTGAGTGCACTCAGTGAAAATAAACAGGGATTTTACAGTTTGACACACTTTCCAAATGCAGTCGGAATCCAGTTCGGCCCATCCCACCAGCCGAAAGTGAACATGTTTTAAAACATAAAGTAAATAATCAGTTATTTTCTGGAAATTCTGACATATTATGTCAAGATAACAATTATTTTGAGAAAATAATAAGCTATGTTGACACATGTTCTTCTAATTATCATGTATCTATCATGAAGTCCTTCTTGGGTGCCATGAAGCAGATGAAAAGTAGGCATCTGGCTGACTCTGCTACACTGACACTGTGAAATCAGCATGTTTTATATTGTGTATTTTCCTGTTAAATAAAAGTAAAGACGCGTGAGCAGGAAAGCTGTGTGTTTCTGTTCTGTAGGCAGTGGATTGGGAGGAGGTTCTGAGCTCTGTGGAGGTGGACCGGACCGTGGATGAGGTGAAGTGGGCTCAGCCGGGCACCGCGGGGGGGATGGCCATGCTGGAGTCCTTCATCCAGCACCGTCTGCGTCTCTTCGCCACAGAGAGAAACAACCCAAACTCAGCGGCTCTCAGCCAGCTCTCGCCCTGGCTTCACTCCGGTCAGTTTTTCATGAGTTCTCTTAGCTTAACTAGCTAAGCTGTCATTCTACAACAACAAGCATGGCAGCTAAGCAGTATCTCTGTCCTCTTTATAGATGCCTCAAGGGTCATTCAGACCTAAAACCACAGTTTAATATGTTATGTATCGTGATACAGCTGTGTTTTGCAGCGCAGCCTCATCTTTTTGACAGAATTCGCGATTTCATATTGTTTTCGTTCTCTCACTACAATACCCTGCATGCATTTCACAAATACGTCATACAACTATTGGGAATCCCTGTGGTGTCAGCCAATCCTGACTGCCAACCATAGCCGCTGACCAAAATGCTAATAAATACGAACAGGGTAGTGTTAGGCCCAATTCCATTACACCCCTCGCTCCTACCACTTAGCCCTACCCCTTTGTTTTGTGCGTTTAGGTGTAGGGTGTCCTGGTTCTTGTTGAGATAGAGGGGTAGGGTGAAGTGTTAGGGCTACTTGACCCTCCAAATGGAGGCTTTTCAGACACTCCAAACAGACAGTTATGAGAAAAAAAGAAAAACAGACAAGATGGCTGAACAAGAGACCAAAGAAACACACAAATATGAGAATTTTCTCTGTTAAAAAAATTACAATAATCATTGTTTTATCTTAGTTTAATGTCGTTTCGATGTATTTTGGTCGTTTTCTTCATAAGAAGCCTAGTACTAGGCTAATGTCTCGGTAGCTAGCTAGCTAACTTTCCCGTTCCACCTTAAATAGTCCAGCAGTTCTGACGCCTGAAGCACCACAATGTAACTGCTGCACCGTTTAAGGTGGAACGGGAAAATTCGAACAAGAAGCTGGTGAATATCTGACTCCAGCTTCATATCGCTGAAGAATTACAGGTGGGTGATAATAAATAATTGCCCCCCTCTTTGAAGGCATATGATGCCCTAAATGTAACTAAAGCCCAGCAGTGAGGAGCTGAACTTTACCCTCCTCTGCTGTCACTGCAGACTGGCAGGGTCTCCTACAGAGCAGCGCTGGTAGCTGTTAATGAAGTGATGCTCTTTTTATTTGAGGGTCCCATTTCAGAGGGAAGATTTCAACCACTACCCTGTAACTCAGTTCTAAGGGGCAACACTCAAAAACAAGGGGTAAAAATGAGAAATGGGATTGGGGCTTAGTTAAACTCTAACCTTGGTCTATGAAGAAAAATATAAAGAAAACAGCAGATTTATATTAATTTAGAAGGAAATGAACGCCAAAGAAGCTGTTTTTTATCCTTTCAGCCAATGAAAAGTAGCCTTACTGAGAAAAGTTGTCTAGCTAGCCAGCTACCTTATTAGCTTTAGCTTTTAGCTTGTTGTTCTCCTCATCTGATGAGTCATTTCTGTCATTTGAGTGATCCGTTCTCTCCACTGTACTGATGATTTGCCATATTTATACAGCTTCAATAAGATATTCAGCTTCCTAGCAGTAACATTTACAATGTAACGACAACAAAAAAATAAATAAATAAAAAAATCAGTTCCTCCCAATACTGTAGCATCACTGTAGGAACTGCTGTAAGCATATTTAACAATGCAGGGATGGTACTTTTTCACATTTTGGCTGAAGCGAAGGATGTTTATAGGTGGCTGTGCCTTTTCTTTTCGTCTGCTCCTACTGCTCTACTTTTTAAAGCTGCACTATGTAAGATTTTTTTAAAAACTGAAAGTAGTATCATTACCGAGTGAGGAGAATAAAAACAGGCTAAAATATGGTGAGCAGGCTCTGGTTTAAAGGGGAACTCCACAGATTTTTTATTTATTTTTTTTTTAATCTGTATAGTTCAGTGACTGATATATAAACAGTCATTCTGAGTGATTTAATGTGAAATGATTACTTTGCAGAGAAACTTGCCGACTCTCGATTTCTGTACAGTGGTGATGGAACCAGCGGTCCCGATAACTATGATGCAAAAATAGACATTTTATTTGTTATCCAAAACCACCAGTGAACCTGCACGATTCGTCTGAGTTTATATAACGTTGATGATGGTAAAATAGTGGTCAAAATGAAAAATGACATTTTCTTTGGGGACTATTTTGCCTCACAACATCCTTCTTGTATCCTTCTACCATGAAATAATAATTAAAATAAATTGATTAGGCCAAAAAAAATAGGTTTTAGACTAAACGTTTTTCACAAAGCTACTGTGAAACAAAGGCTCAGACATCAGGCAGTGAATTCATAACCATTTTATGTAGTAATTTTCTGTGAGGGAGCTTTTAGAGGTGGACGTCTGGTTCCTATCACCACCACTGTGAACAGTTCTGACTCAGCAAGTTTCTCTAGAATAAAGCGTTTCACACCAAACCACTCTGAATGACTTGGTTGACATGTTAACCGTTTTAATTATGCAGAAATAAAAAAAAAAATCAGTGGGGTTCCCCTTTATGTCATCCTGAAAAGCCTGAAATAATTAAAAAATTAGAGGCATCACTTTTTTCCCACCACGTCGTCTGTCTTTACGTGTTTCCAGCTCAATGTTTAGGTCTCAAATGATCTCAAAATCAACATTATACTGATGAAGATGTGATGACAACAGTAGATCATTCACTCGCGTCCTCAGAAGCAGGTCCTTCACCAAGCTCTGACTCAGTAGCTCCAGTGCTCCTGATACTGAAGTGAATGTTCTAATGTTATTTTGTTATTTTGTCCTTCTCTCTCTCTCTCTCTCTCTGACCCTCAGGTCAGCTGTCTGCTCAGCGTGTGGTGAAGGAGGTGCAGCGCTGGGGGAAAAATGCCAGGGAGTCTGTGGCCTCCTTCACCGAGGAGCTGGTGGTCCGCAGGGAGCTCGCCGACAACTTCTGCTTCTACAACAAAAACTACGACAGCATTGACGGTGAGCATCACGGCCAGTCTCTATTTTCCGAAACCCACAAACGTCTAAAAAACAGAATCAAATTAGGCTTTTAGTGACCTTTTCAGTACTGACTGCACTGTGAGGTACTTGACACGTATGTTATTATTCTTATGAAAATTATTGTCATGTTGACGACCCTCTGTGGTGGTCTTGTTTCCTCAGGCGCTTATGATTGGGCAAAGAAGACGCTGAAGGATCATGCTAAAGACAAGCGGCCTTACCTCTACACACAGGAGCAGCTGGAAAACGCCAGAACTCACGATCAGCTGTGGAATGCTGCTCAGGTACGTAAGGCACAGTGATAAACTGAAGGAAACCAATATCCCATATACACATGGAGGGACTGTAACACCTGTGTCCTTTACAGTTCACACTCACTGTTTACACTCACTGGCCACTTTATTGTAAACGCCCACCTTGTACTTTCACTCACTGGCCACTTTATTGGAATCACCTACCTTGTACCTCCACTTACTGGCCAGTTTATTAGAAACACCCACCTTCTGTTTCCACTCACTGGCCACTTTATTGGAAACACCTACCTTGTACCTCCACTTACTGGCCAGTTTATTGAAAACACCTACCTTGTGCTTCTGCTAAGTGGCCACTTTATTAGAAACACCTACCTTGTGTTTCCACTAACTGGCCACTTTATTAGAAACACTGACCTTGTGCTTCCACTAACTGCCCGATTTATTAGAAACACCCACCTTGTGTTTCTACTAACTGGCCACTTTATTGGAAACACCTACCTTGTAGCTCCACTTTGCTGGTGCACAGTTTGAGACTGCAGATTAGGGCATCATTTTAGAGGCTTTGAATACTCGTTCTCAAAAACCATTCTTACATATAATAATTTTTCCATTTCATAATTAACCATACTTTTAACCATGTTCATTACTGCAGTTCAAAATAGATCCAGTAGGTGGCAGCCATGTGTTAATGTAGTAATAGTACTGAGCTGAAATCAAGTATCCGCTTCTTACTTAAGATGTCGGTTCAGCCTCTTATCGCAGATTATGCAATGAGTGTTTTTGTCATCATCCGATAATTAAAAGTCCCCACATGTGATTTCTCTGCTGTTTTAGCTTCTCAGAGAAAGCGGTGCAGGTTTTTCTCTGAGGTGATGTTTCATATAAAATGTAATGTAGGATTTAATTTTTGTGGATTAAAACAGACGACAATGAATGATTACTCAAGGATTGCAATTATTCAGTCAAGCCATGCTGCTGCACGGTTTGAGCCCCCTTCTACCTCATTCATCATTGGTCAGCTTCTGACCACAGCAGCGCTGTTATCCAGATATTTTTTTTATACAAACATCCACACAAATGCAGCTCTGTGCTCAGAAACTGACCGCTGATGAACACAAACTGTAAATAAATGAAACAGTCAGCTCAGTCTGAGTCAGCAAGGCAGGACTATGAAAGGTTTCAGACCTTTGAAAGATACAGACTCCATTTAAATGTGTGGTTTCTTGTGACGTCCCACAGAGGCAGTTGCTGTTAGAGGGGAAGATGCACGGGTTCATGCGAATGTACTGGGCCAAAAAGATTCTGGAGTGGACCTCGTCCCCCGAGGAGGCTCTCGCTATCGCCATTTATCTCAATGACCACTACGCACTGGACGGCTGCGACCCCAACGGATATGTAGGTGAGAGACAGCGACCGCACATCAGAAGCTGCATCAGAGCAATTAATAACACATAATTAGTAATAATGATAATGTCTTTATTTATAGAGCACTTTCCATATCAGTGGCAGCTCAAAGTGCTTTACAGACAGGTGACAATGTTTTACAGTAACATACAAAACAATGACCGATCAAGTTAAAAGGATAAAGACCAAAGAGACGCAGAGTTTTAATGAAGCGCTGAGTTAAAGAGCTGCGTTTTCAGATGTTTATTAAAAGTGAGCTCTGAGCTCGACTGTCTAATAAAAGCTGAGCTGAGCTCCACAGTTTAGAAGCAGAATAACTGAACGAGTCTCTGTATTTTACTGAATGTGTTTGCAGAAGGCCTTTGGTAAAAGAAAGCAGCTTGAAAAGTGACAGTTAAGCAAGAAATCAGGGGCCACATTCACGAAATTGTCTTAAGAAAGAAAATCTTGTTGGGGGTTCGGTGTCTTGCTCAAGGGCACTTCAGTCACGTACTGTCGGCTCGGGGGATCGAACCGGCAACCTTCCGGTCACAGGGCTGGGTCTCTAACCTTCAGCCCACGACTGCCCTAAGACAATTAAGACTAGGAGAGTGAAGGCAAACACAGGCTTCCTCTGAGACCTGTGAAGCACCACCGCATCCTTCTGAACCGCTGCTAACACAACTAAACACCCGAACACGCTCGGAGGAGAACACTAACCACCTGATGTGTTACGTCTGCACTGACTAGCATCTTTGGAGGAGAAGGGGGGGGAGCCATCCTACCCACCCAGAGAGAGCAAAGCCCATTGTGATCTCTTGGACCCCCGGCGGCTGCAGCATCACTGGGGATCAAACTCGTGATCTCCTGATGACAGGACCAATTCTTAGATGGTTGCGAGACCTTTTTACACAAACAAACGTCAATAGGAATATAAGTCACACACCAACTTACTCTGACGAAACAAATCAATAATAAGTGTTTCCATAGTGATGAGATCCATCACAGTGCATTGAACAATAAAGGCAGCGTGGAGCTTCTTTTATACAGTGATAGGAAAGCGAAATCTCCAGTTTCACACTGATCCACTTTACTGACCACTTAAAGACGTTGAACATTGTTTGGGTTAAAAATCTTCCACCCATTCAGTCTTTTGTTTCTTCTTCTCTCCTCTATAGGCTGCATGTGGTCCATCTGCGGAATTCATGACCAGGGCTGGGCTGAGAGGGCCGTTTTCGGGAAAGTGCGCTACATGAACTACGCTGGCTGCAAGCGCAAGTTTGATGTGGGTCAGTTTGAAAGGAGGTACACTGTCAAAACGGCCTGAGAGCGCCGCGAGTCTGCGGGCGGCCGGCATCCGTCAAACAGCTGGGAATAACCTGCCTCCACAGCCGGCCCTGTTTACATTTTTCTCATGGTTGTTTACATTTCATGATACTGTTCGTGATATCTTTTTAACTGAGGTCTGATAGAAGATTGGGTAACACTAGGGTACTGTCCATAGGGCTACATGACACCTACATAAGCTTGTCATGTCAACTGACATAACCCTACATAAATGTTTATATATACTTATTGAAGTAGGCGTCATTCGCTGATGATGCCTATTGCAATAAGCTTTTATAAACATTTGTGTAGGGTTATGTCAGTTGTCTTGACAAGTTTATGTAGGTGTCATGTAGCCTTATGAACTGCACCCTACAGTAAAGTGTTGCTGAAGATTGTTTGTGAAAAGCTGTTCTCAGAATGATGTAGTTTGTGTAACTTGGTAAACTTGTACATCAAGAAATATTGATTTTCCAGTTAGGCCAGTAAACGATTAGTCTTCACCAGCAAGAAATGATTGATCTCAGCTCCAAACTCAGGATCAGCTTATATGTTTTGCCTTAATTTGTTCATGGAACTTTTGGGAAACTGTTGTTTTTACAGTATGTTTTATTAAACTTTTTACCCTCTACTGGCTTCTGTGTCTTTATTCAGAGGGAGTGATGAGTAGAGACGGTATTAAAATATGATACTTTAATGGTACTGACTGAATTACTTCAGTACAAAAAGTAAAACCAAATTTCAACATTAACAAACATGCTTACAGAACATAGACAGACATGATTATCTTGGGATAATTATCTCAAGATGATCATCTCAGGATACTTTTCTTGGGATAATTATCTCAAGGGTAAAAAAAAAATCTGCCTTCGAAAATGACCTGAGATTTGTTTTTACTCAATTTAATTATCTCAAGATAATTTTCTTGGGATATTTAAGATCGTTTTCTCTGGATAATTATCTCAAGATGATTATCTTGGGATACTTTTCTCAGGATAATTGTCTTAAGATGATTATCTTTGGATAATGTTTGGGATAATTTTCTCTGGATAATTATCTCGAGCATCATAAGCAAAAAAAAGTTAGCGCGTTACCCACTCTGCCCTGTAGGTGGCACCAATACGTCATTCAGGCAGCATTCTACTCACTAATATCTATAAGAGGGGCGGTGGAGATCGAGTCTGCAGCGTCTGAGATCTTTAAAACGCAGAGTTAGAAAAGAAAATCATCTCCAGTGAAAGCAGCGTTTTACAGTAGGAATAAATGGAGCTCATTATGCTGGTAGTGAACTATGCTGCTGACTCAGCTGCCTAAAAACCATAGAAACGGACCTTAAACAGAAGTGAGGACCCTGTTGGGGTTCATCCTAAAGTTAGGACAGGATTTAGGAGGTTTAGTCTAGTTAGGATGTTTGTGTGATGCTGTTTTCTTATCTGGAGTTCATGATGAGATTATGAAGTCAGGAGCTGTTATTCTGGAATAGCTACTGTCCTGAATTCAGTCCGTACAGTCGTCATGGAGACCAAACAGATCAGACTTCAGACTTAAGAAGTTTCTGTAATGCGGCCTCTGATTCTTTAACAGCAGATGTTAAATCAAGATAGTAAACAGTGATTTGTGTGGTTTGTTCCTTTTCTGGTCGTTCATCAGACAGTGAGGGCCTCCAGTTCTGTGACATCATAGCACTGGATGATCTGCTACGCGTAACCTGATATAATACTCTAGTCTGTTAATGATCATCTGGGACTTGCTGACAATTCAGAGCAAGCAGAGCTATTATGTTTATAATGCGCTTTAGTAAACATTACTCTAAATGGCATCGTTCAGTTACGTTACAGTCAGTCCTGTTTGTACAGTACTTTCTACAACAGGCACCAGGGCAGCTGTCCAGAAATGTGGGTGCAGTGAGTATAAGTGTCACCAGCTGAGACACTGTCAGGGTACAACTCTAAGAGCATGAGAACCACTTCTAATTCTAAGAACCACTGAGGAACCAAGACTCAAAAGGAGAAACTCCCTAAGAGCATAAGGAAGAACCACTGAGGAACCAAGACTCAAAAGAGGAACTCAATAAGAGCATGAGGAAGAACCACTGAGGAACCAAGGCTTAAAAGGAGAAACTCCCTAAGAGCATGAGGAAGAACCACTGAGGAACCAAGACTCAAAAGGAGAAACTCAATAAGAGCATGAGGAAGAACCACTGAGGAACCAAGGCTTAAAAGGAGAAACTCCCTAAGAGCATGAGGAAGAACCACTGAGGAACCAAGACTCAAAAGGAGAAACTCCCTAAGAGCATGAGGAAGAACCACTGAGGAACCAAGATGCTTAAAAGGAGGAACTCCATAAAAGCATGAGGAAGAACCACTGAGGAACCAAGACTCAAAAGAGGAACTCAATAAGAGCATGAGGAAGAACCACTGAGGAACCAAGACTCAAAAGAGGAACTCAATAAGAGCATGAGGAAGAACCACTGAGGAACCAAGACTCAAAAGAGGAACTCAATAAGAGCATGAGGAAGAACCACTGAGGAACCAAGACTCAAGAGAGGAACTCAATAAGAGCATGAGGAAGAACCACTGAGGAACCAAGACTCAAAAGAGGAACTCAATAAGAGCATGAGGAAGAACCACTGAGGAACCAAGACTCAAAAGAGGAACTCAATAAGAGCATGAGGAAGAACCACTGAGGAACCAAGACTCAAAAGAGGAGCTCAATAAGAGCATGAGGAAGAACCACTGAGGAACCAAGACTCAAGAGAGGAACTCAATAAGAGCATGAGGAAGAACCACAGAGGAACCAAGACTCAAAAGAGGAACTCAATAAGAGCATGAGGAAGAACCACTGAGGAACCAAGACTCAAAAGAGGAACTCAATAAGAGCATGAGGAAGAACCACTGAGGAACCAAGACTCAAAAGAGGAGCTCAATAAGAGCATGAGGAAGAACCCCTGAAGAACCAAGACTCAAAAGGAGATACTCACTAAGAACATGAGGAAGAACCACTGAGAGGAACCAAGACGCAAAATTAGGAACTCCATAGGAACGTAAGGAAGAACCACTGAGAACAACCAAAACTCAAAAGAGGAACTCAATAAAAGCATGAGGAAGAACCACTGAGGAACCAAGACTCAAAAGAAGGAGCTCCCTAAGAGCATGAAGAAGAACCACTGAGAGGAACCAAGACTCAAAAGGAGGAGCTCCCTAAGAGCATGAAGAAGAACCTCTCGGAGGAACCAAGACTCAAAAGGAGAAACTCCATAGAAACACAAGCAAGCAAAGTTTATTTATATAGCGCTTAGTCACAAAGTAGCTTTACAGAAAAATCAGCATTACAGAAAGAAATCCGGGTCCGAGCCCCCATGAGCGTCGCCAGTGGCAACAGTGGCAAGGAAAAACTCCCTAAGAGCAACAGGAAGAAACCTTGAGAGGAACCAAGACTCAGAAGGGGAACCCATCCTCCTCTGGTCGACGCCGGATAGTAAAACAGTGTTAGTATAAAGTATTACAGTTCAAAAACAGGGAAAACAGGCGGAGCAATGGTTAATTAGATTAGTTTAGTTTAAGCAGCAGCATCATCAGGAGGGTCAGTTCATGAGGGTGAGGTTTGCACAGCGTTGTACAGCATGAAGCTCAGTGGTGGTCAAGCCAGTCCAGAAGGCTGGCGAGCAGTGGGCACACAATCAGGCAGAAGAGGCAGCAGCATCAGACACACAGGATGGGCAGCTGTTCAACTTGGCAAAGAAAGGAAAACACACAGAGAGTCAGTTCTGTAATGAGTGACTGACAGAACTGAGAGTCAGTTCTGTAATGAGTGACTGACAGAACTGAGAGTCAGTTCTGTAATGGGTGACCGATCACAGATTACAGCAGAGCAGCAGAGGCTCCGTCAGGTCTGGATCTGACAGGGAAAACTAATTACCAAAGGCTCGACTATACAAGGAAGTTTTTAGCCTAGACTTAAACACTGAGGCTGTGACTGAGTCCCGAACATTAACAGGAAGATTATTCCAAAGCCGGGGGGCTTTGTATGAGAAGACTCTCCCCCCTTATGTAACTTTACTAATTCTAGGTACTAATAGTAAGCCGGTACCTTGTGATCTAAGTAGGCGTGATGGTTCATAGTGAGAGAGAAGTTCACTCAGGTACTGAGGGGCGAGTCCGTTTAGTGCTTTATAGGTCAGTAATAGAATTTTATAATCAATCCGAAATTTAACTGGTAACCAGTGTAGGGTTGATAGAACTGGGCTGATATGGTCAAACTTTCTGGTTCTAGTAAGAACTCTGGCTGCAGCGTTCTGAAGCTTGTTAAGGCTTTTGCTGGAACATCCAGCCAGCAGGGCATTACAGTAGTCTAGCCTTGAGGTAATAAATGCATGAACTAACTTTTCTGCATCCTGTAGAGAGAATGCATTTCTCAATTTAGCAATACTGCGGAGATGCAGGAAGGCTGTTCTAGTAATATTAGTTATATGTGTGTCGAAGGACAGATCAGGGTCTATAATGACACCAAGGCTTTTTACAGATGAGCTTGATGCAGCTGAGAAATTGTTAAGTTTAAGTGTAAAATCAGACAGTTTGTTTCTGGCTACTTTTGGACCAAGAAGCAGAACCTCTGTTTCATCCGAGTTTAGAAGGAGAAAGTTATTTAACATCCAGTCTTTTATGTCTTTTATACAGTCCTCAATCTTGCTAAGTTTAATTTTATCATCCAGTTCACTTGATATATATAACTGAGTGTCATCGGCATAACAGTGGAAATTGATGCCATGTTTACTGATAATGGTGCCCAGTGGTAGCATATATAATGTGAATAATACAGGTCCTAAAACAGAGCCTTGTGGAACACCATACTTTACTTTTGCGAGGGCAGATGATTCACCGTTTACATTAACAAACTGATAGTGATCAGTGAGGTAGGATCTGAACCAGGAAAGAGCCATTCCTGTTACCCCTACAAGGTTTTCTAGTCTGTCTAATAAGATAGCGTGGTCTATCCTGTCAAATGCTGATCGAGGAGGACTAGCAAAGACACATTTCCTTGGTCAGAGAAGGAAGAACCACTGAGAGGAACCAAGACTCAAAAAGGAAAAAACTCCCTAAATGAGGAAGAACTACACTACAATCTGCTCCAGCTAACTGGCTTCTTTGGACGTTGCTGATTGGTTGGGCCAGATCTCCAAGGGCTTGGTGACCACAGTGCTAAACCATCAAACTCAACCTAAAAGTCAACTGGTTAAGCTGGTCAAGTTGGTACACCAGCTAAACCATCAAAGTCAAAAGAAAACGTACCCCACGCTGGTCAACCAGCTAAGCTTAGCAGTTTAACCAGCTAAACAACTTGTTTTTTTTTGCCATCTATGAACAGAGAGACTTCACTATCTGTCCATACTGGGTGATATTAAAGCTTATTATTCTGTGAATACATAAGATAGAAGGATTATTTTTCGGAGGATCTACTCAGTGTGACTGAATGTTCCCAGCAGGCATGTTTGCATTTTTCCTGATAAACTCAGTAAGAATAGAAAAGGCCACACAAAGGAGGAGGCAGTAAATCTCTAAGTGTTTTCTTAACCGAAGATGTTGGGAGATAAAAGCTGTCAGACTGTGTCTGAAATTTGTGCCTGTTTGTACGG